TTTTTTTTAAAATTTTTTTCCCGCCATCATTTTTTTTTGCTGATGCAGGTGAAGGGACCGGCTCCCCGGGCAAAGGGGAGGCAGCTCCTCCGCATCTCCTGACCGGGACCCCCCGGAAAACCCTGCTGGGTGACCAGCGACCAGCCCGCAGAGGGACCGGGATGCTCAGCCGCCACGGGGCTGTCACCTGCTCCTCCACCCAGGCAGCCCAAACCTGTGCAGGCCTTTCCGCCCAGGATTGTCCTTTCTTTCTCTCTCTTTTCCTTCTCTCTCCTCCTTTCTCTCCTTGCTGTCACCCCATCTCCCCTCTGCCGCCTCCGCCCTGCCGGGGGGTTCGCTGGAAACCCGGGGTCTCTCCCTCGGCTGCCCCCTTCGAAATGTCAGATCCTTGTGGGTTTGTCCTTTCCAGAGATGAAAAGGTGCCGAACGCTGCCCCAAATGGGGCCTTTTTCCAAAAAAATGAGCAAAACCATTTCCTTTTCTGTACCGAGAGCTCCTGTCACTGCCCGGGCCATGGCAGACAGGGTCAGACTCTGCCAGGAGCAGGCAGCTGTTGAAATCCAAGTGGAAAGAAGCCCAGCTGATTTTTGTCCATTCCCTTAAATCTCAAGTTAAGGGGGGGAGAGGGAGAAATAATGAAGTTTTTAATTAAAAAAAAAAAATAAAAGTGTGTATATATATATATGTGGTTACAATCTAATTCTCGTGCCCCAGTGGGGTGCTGTATAGTTAACTGAAGGAGAATCGAACCAATATAAATATGAAATGAATTTACACAGCCAGTTAAAACAAAACAAACAACAACTACAAAAAAAAAGAAAGGATACCAAATGGTCTGGAAGAAATTTCCAAGCCTTTCTCACCATGCAGAACAATCGTTTGAAGCCTGCACATCTCTCATTATGTTGTAATTTTGTTTGGTTTGGCTTGGTTTTGTTTTAATAAGGAAGAAAAGCAGAATATGTTAAAAAAGAAAAAAAAAAAAACAAACAACAACCACCAACAACAAACGCAACCACAACAGCAAAACTATGTTTGAAAAAGAAGTAATAATTGTTTCCCAAACCTCCAAACCCTGAGCTGTCGCTGGATTTCTGAGAGCTGTGGGCTGTTGCATGACTGTGCTAGATTTTAGTCTGAGTTGATCTTTTTAAGAAACAGAAGAAAAAAAACCCATAAAACAAAAAAAAACCCTGCAAGTGTTGAATATTAGAGGTTTGTTTAGACCTGTTATCTATTTTTTTTAATTTGAAATTAATTTCTCATTTTCTTGTCCAAAAGAAAAAACAAAAGCAAAGCAAAAAGAAAGACTTCAGAGGTTCACATCTATAACGTGGTACTCGGAGAGCCTTAAAGGACAGCTGTGTGTCCGCCTGCCCCACGTCGGGGCCACCGTCACCAGCTGCCAGCACCTCCCTGGGCACTCCGCTGGGACAAAACCCTCCCGGGGGTCCTTTGCAGAACTTGCTGCTGCTGTGACGGGTGCCCGTGGCTCCCTTTGGTGCAAGGTTGGCCCAAAGCTGCTTCCTCGCGGCGCTGCTGGCTGGGCGGCATTGGCGGAGGTCCTGGAAATCGCCCGGAGGACGGCGGCCACGCGTTGGTGGTCATTGTGATCCGGTGGAAGGGAGCGGTGGCTTTGAGGTCTCTGTCTGGAAGTGATGCAGGTCCTGCCTGTTGCAGTGGTAAGAGCATCTTGGGGAACTTTGGTGGCCACTGAAGGTGCCAAACGTGTTGATTTTGTGGTCTTTGAGCGAGGATGGTGGGACCCTCCCTGTTGCTGGTTGGAGAGGATGGAGAGTTGTTGCGAAGAGCATCCCCCTGAAGATTTTCGTGTTGGTGAATGAGGGCTGGAAGTACGGCTAAGAGCGGAGTGTTTATTAGCCTGTTGCTTTCCTGACGGTGATGCTGTGCGTGTTCCCTCAGCCGGGCTGGAGGGACAGGCGAGTTTCTTGGCCGTGGTGGGCCTGGGTTGGATTTGGGCAGCAGAGTGGTTCCCAGGGGGTCATGCCATGCAGACTGGCAGTGCCATGGGGTGGCTGTGCTCTCTGGGCTCCCCTTGTGCTGTGGCATGGCTCTTCCTGCCCCGTGACGATGCCCGTGATGTGATCCAGGGGATGGGTTCCCGTTGGCTTCCTTCCAAGGAGCTTTGGGGTGTCTGCGGTTTGCTCCACCAAAGGATCCCCCAGCACCTCCTCACCCCTCTGGGGTCCTCTTGCTGCCTCTGACGGGGAGGATGGTGGTCAATGGGGTGGACATTGCAATGCAGCCTGCAGCCTCCGGCACTTCTTGGTGCTACCTTTGCCTTTTGCGTGATGCCCAGCGTCCTTAATCGTGCCAGGCAGCCTGTCCTTCCTCCCTCGCCCCAGCCTGGCAGGGGGCAGAGCCGGGCTGGTGGTCCCCATCTGACCCTGCCTAGCAGCGAGGAAAGGAGGGGAGAGGCTGGGAAGCATTTTCAGGGCTCCTCTTACTGGTGGTATTGCCTGTGCCCCAGAATGGGGTCAGACGGAGAAGCATCCCCTGCCCTGAGCCTGCGTTCCAAGGAGCTCCCGCTCTGCCCCCCACTGTCAGGGGCAGCTGGAGGCCATGGGCTGATCCCCGACTGCTGCAGCAAGCAGGTCCCTCCCAGCCCCCCTCGGCTCCCATTGCCTTTTCTCTTCGGTTTGGGGTTCAAAAGAAGCGCAGTCCAGCCTGGAAGTGTCCCCTGTGCCTGGCCCTGGTGTCCCCCTCCCGCCAGAGCCCTGTGCCACCCCACAGCCTGGGGACAGGGAGCAGGGAGACGGGTGGCAGGACCCTCCCCGGGCTCACCCAGTCCCGACCAAAGCGCACAACGAGCTGTCCTTTAAGAAAGCAGGGGAAAACATAACGCGGACCTGGCGAAAGGCAGAGAATTTTAATAGTTTTAAAAAATTAAATGGGGAAAAAAAAAAAAATCCGGAGTCCTGATTACCTTTCTGTGATTGTTTCAGACTTGAAGCAACAGGCCAGCGCGGCTGGTCGAACGCCCTTTGATCGTGTAAATATCCTGCTATTTCCTATTTTAATGTTCTTCAGATTTAGTACTTGTAAATAAACACACGCATCAAGGAGAGATTAAACATTTTTGCTAAAGCCAGTGTCTTGCCTGTGTTTTTAAGGGCGATGCACGCAGGAGAGGCGGGTGGCTCTGGGGAAGGGCCATTCCTGGGAGAAGCAGCTGAATCCACGGCTGTGCCGGGGTGGCACAATGCAAAATGGCATCGGGATGGGCCACTATCGACGGGGCCACCAGGGATGTGTGTGTGGGGGTGGGCACCCCGGGCAGGGGCTTCACAGCCCCAGAGCGGCCCTGGGTGCTTGCAGGGGGATTTGGTTGGCGGATTTATGCGGGGTGAGAGGAGGCTTCTCTGTCATGGGCAGCTTACGCTGAATTCTTCTAAACTGTTGGATTTCACTCGTCGCCTTTCAAAGTGCTCGGAGCTGTTGACCAGGTGCAGAGGAGCTGAATCCGTTACGCCGCAAGCAGAGGTGAGATGAGAAGAGCTGCAGCGCTGCTCGCCGGGGGTCAGAAGGTGCCAACTGGGGCTAGGACGGCTTCAGTTCTGCCTCTCTGCTATCCTGGTCCTTCTTTCCACAGGGGACGTACCAGGGTGACAGCACAAGTGGTGGGGGACAGGGTGGGAAGAGGTACGTGGTGGTGTGGTGACGCTGCAGTCGTGTGTCCGCAGGGTCTGCACGTCCTCTTCTCCAGCTCCTGCTCCTTGTCTTGAAGCTTTGCAAAGCCGCTGTGTCACCCCGTAACTCTGGGCACCTCCAAACTGTGTTGTGGGGTGTGCAGGATCTTAAAGCAG